ATTCCGGTCGGTGTAGTCGCCGGGTCTGAAGGTCTGCAACAGGCAGTAGGTCGCCTGTTCCGGGAGTGGCTGATCGTATTCAATCCCCGCACCACGGTCATTTGTGGACTGGCCTCGAGAAGTGGTTGGCCACTAAGCCAGACAGACGGTGACCTTGAACGGGGAGTTTTGATATCGTCTTTTGCGCACGCGTGGTGGTCATGCCAGACATGACTTATCCCCGCGGCGTCCGAGGAAAGCATGGCTAAGAAGTACAGGGTCGCTACAACGTGTTCTTCCCTTTTTTTCTTTGCCACCCGATTTTAACCTCACACCCCTACTTGTAGTAGAATTTGTAGTAGTAGAAAGAGAATACAGAGAAAGACAAGAACTGCCAAACCCCGTTTTCATTGTCTTAGTCGATAAGCGTCTTCTGTGAATAAAGTTAGTCCCTGTACGACGGTTTGCGGGGCTTAAGATTGAGCATCAATACACAACGGGATGAAGATATCCCAGTGTTACGTCTAGGGTCAACTGGGATTTAGATGTGGATAGGGATTAAGTTTAATTTTCGGGTCAAGTTTAGGATTAAAATGGGATTTAGGATAGGCTTAGCGATTTACGACTCGATAATACTTATCACTACTGGAATTTTGCGCAGGGCTACTTAATTTACTAAGGGTTTTACATCCTTGTACCCTCGTCGAAAAAAAACTTCTAACGTATATGTATATTGCTTATTGAAGCGAAAATGCGTGTCCCCGGACATAAATGAGAAGAAAAGGCGATCTCGGGAACATGCGTTCGCAAAGATAACGAACCTGTGGTTCAGTGGTTGGAGCAATGGACATACTACCGCTCAACAACCAAACTAACCCCTGGTTGGACTCCCAATGTCCACAGACCTGGGGTTTTGTAAAACCAACTACTGACGGCCGATAAGTCAAAAGTCTCGTCTTTATCGGTAGCTCCTTCTTTGCATATACTACCAGTTACTATGAGACTGCTTACGATTGTTGTAGATAGAAATGCAAGTCATAGCTAGACGAGCGCATTCCATAACTCGACCGGTCAGTGGCCTCTGCCATACGGATACGCAATAGGTTTAACAAAGGGATGAAATGATGTTTTTTTTTAAATTCTATCCCCCGTAAAGTCTATCAGAGTTATTTATTCTCAGGAGCGGTTTTTATGTCTAAGAAGTACTTTGTTATAAGCAGCAAAATGCCTTTTGTGGCTGCAAGGTTAGAATTCATTTCTAAATTAAAATTAACTCGTTTCTTTGTAAATGTAATCGGTCAGAGGGGGCTGAGGACTCATAGCATGTCCCCTATCACTATTGTATGAACAAGTAGAGTCGGCGGGGTCTCCTGAGGAAAAACAACATTTTTTTTTCTTTCTCTTTAGGTTCAGAAGTATTGTCGCGTCCTTCTACAGAAAGGCGGATGGGATCCTACTGCTTTACGATTGCACGGCGGAAAGATCTTTCACAAACATCCGAAATTGGATCTCAGTAATACGGGTAACGTTTTCCTAATGTTGACAATTTATTTATTTAGGTTGTTTACCGTATTCTCAGTAGCATCATACTGAGCCGAATTTTCGCTTACTACCTGGCTACATCATCCATCGATTCCGCTGTTCTCCTGTATCATGGCGACTTTATGCTCTCCTAGATTTAACTTATCATTCGTGCCCAGTACAATCTCCTATTACTTAAGCAATTTGCAATCTAATTCTAACAATCAGTCTCATATGGCAGCAGTAACCACGTTCCTATATTGCCATTGGAACTGATGAATACGAGTAATGTCAACCTTTGTACTAGGTTTCGTACCCCGCCTTTGTGAGGTTGCCCGTAGTTGAAAATGCCCACAAAAGTTCTTATCAGACGTCCTTATCTGGGTAGTTGACCGATTGGGCACTGAGTGCTGCTTAACGTTACGAGTTCTTTCTACCAACCTAAAAGATAACCCCAATATCGAGGCTTTCAAACATGCCAACGCAGTTATATCAGGCTCGCGTTAACAGACCATCTAGTTTGCAAACGCACTTGTCCTCTGTCTTCTTCTGCTATTGTACTTCCGACCGTCAAGTCTTTTTACCATTAAATTATCTTCTAGGAAGTTGATTTGTGTAACTTGAAACATTTTTACCTAAAGCACTGCGGAAGGTAAACCGTACTGATTGCTAGCAGGCTGGGCTTAGTTCTCCAGATAGTTATCAGGCTCAAATATAAGTCTGCCTATTCTCCTTTACCTGTTTATACTTCTATACTGCTAATTTCGACTTTCTTTACTCATTGTAGGAGAATGCCCATTCAGACGTTGTCCTTATGCTGATTGGCAACAAAATTGACCTGAGGCAGTCGGTTTCGCCCTTCAATCAAAGATCAGTCAGTTTTGAGGAAGGAAAAAAACTCGCGAAGGTACGGTTTGACGTAGATTTATTTGTTTATTACCTGACTACTCATTTGACAGGCTTCCACGTGGCAACTGCATTATACTCAATCATTGGAAAAGTGATTCACATTGTTGCCTATATTTGTCTTTATTGAACTGAGAGCGGGAAAAGGTCTAACACGTCTGATGACATTGGGCCTTAGAAAGTAGTCTTACAAGTAATCTCCAGTGAATTCATATGATTTCAAGATTAGGGTTTTCGCTTACTTCTTTTTTTCCCTAACAGCGTCTTACCTTGAAATTACATTTCCTGGGATGCCTGCCTTTCAAGTTATTCTTATAAGTTGCAGCTTTATGGGCTGGAACTACAAACTCCAACATCTGCATCAGCTTTGAGCTTTCACAGAAGTTTTCTCAAGCAAACAGTGTTAACAAACTTCGATGTAGGTGGACAGTTTTTCACTTCCGAATTTCTTCTACTGATCCAAGGCGACATCATTTCCCGCCGCTTACGGGATATGGGAACAGTAACGTTAGCCACTGTGTGGTGCGGAGAATCATGTAAACTGTTTTTTTTGGCCATCGACTCCGCACGTGGGGGTGGGTGGGAGTGGGGCCTGTTCGACAGGGTTATTCGAGGACAAATTACGCACATCAAGTGTGGGCGTGTTCGCATTGTTCGCAGGCCTGCGAACGGACCCACTCACTCTGGCGTGACCGCTATCACGTGAGCACATGTACTTTATTTAGTGAAAACTATTGGAAAATCACGACTTCATATGGGCAGCAATAACGACTTGCGTGTAGCTTTTTAATGGGGAGGAAGATTTTCATATTACCTAACTCACCTCACTCTTCTCTTGCCCTCCTTCGTTCTAGGACAAATCAGAATCAAGATTCAGGAGGTGAAGTTAGGCGAACGAACGTTTTCAATTAATTCATCATCAGGCAAATGACAATAATATAAGGGAAGGTAGAGTTAACAAAAGTTTAAGTAACCAATCAGTAGTAACCAGGGGGGAAAAGAGGGGAAAGGTGTTTAGGGATCAAAGAGGTAAAATTATTGTCTTAATTGGGACCAGAGAGGGGAAAGGGGGGAGGAGGAGGAGGAGGAGGAGGAGGAGGAGGAGAAGGGGTCCGACAGTT